TAAGTAAATCATTAATAGAAAGAATTAATTTTGTAAAAGATTATCTGGCTTTACCAATATTTATAAATGGCAACCATCATTGCCTTATCATTATTGATTTTGTGACATCGACGTTTTGTTTTATGGATCCAATGAGTTGTAATATACAGCAAGAGAAATATCTAAACTCTTTTAAAAAAAATTTACGGATGTATAATACAATAAAATCTGAAAATATTAATGAAGAATTATCAGTAAAGGTTTATAATCATGTTGAACAAAGAGACAACTTCAACTGTGGTCTGTTTTGTATTAGATTTTTTGAGTGCATTGTTAGTAATCATGATATGTTGAAACGTATAGATATGTTAAAATATAGGCAAGAAATAAAAACATTAATTATCAATAAATCGGATGATATGGCAAAATCCTGCTTGGTAAGTTCAAGAATTTGTGATGCCACAACAGTAAAAAAGTGTGCTTTTTGTAAAAGACTCATTCAAATTGAATGCAATTTATTTCGGGACGAATCTTTTATCAATAACGGCATTTGTCAATTGTGCGCCCAGTATTAAAATTTATATTTTATCACTTATATGGTGTTCGTTTTGTGTGGATTGGGTAAGGCTGAAAGGGGAGGTTGGATGCCTTTTGCAGAAATGCAAAGTATTGCATTTCTGTTTCCGGTATCAATTATGCGCCTAGTATTGAAATGTATATTTGATCACTTATTAAGTTTTCGTTTTGTGAGGATTGGGTAAGGCTGGAAGGGGTGGTTGGAGGCCTTTTTCAGAAATGGAAAGTATTGCATTTCTGTTTGCGCGTTCCTGAACTTTGTGTGGACTGAAAAAGGATGAGAGGGAGGATGGGGACCTTTCGCAATAATCCCATTTTCACGGAAACAAAAAGGTAACGCACCCAATGGCAATACCTCCTGGGTGGGTGTGGAAATTTGCCACATCTATATATTTGGAATTCAGTAGAATAATTTCACAAGGAATGATTTTCACGTGTAGGGTTAGATTGGGTCACTATAAACACTTTCTACTATATTTCGTCCGAGCAGTCGTTTGCAAAAGTTATCAAAAAAAATTTTTTGGAAATTTCTTTTTCGCAGTGTAAGACCCAGTAGAATAATTTCACAAGGAATAATTTTCACGTGGAGGGTTAGATTGGGTCACTATAAACACTTTCTACTATATTTCGTCCGAGCAGT